TCTTTGCACTCTCAACGGCTAGTTTTGATGTTATTTAAGGAAGCTAAAGAGATGAAGCATTCTGATCAATTTTTCATCAAGTCTATGAAGTCTACGGCTCAATTAGAATGTCTCCAGCATTCAAACTATACCATGGAACCAAGAGAAACAGATTTAATCAAAGGAGACACACTTACCATTTTCGGATCAAGTCAGCACAAGTCTCCCTTCCAACTGTCAAATCATTTCGTTGCACTATGTTCACCTTCAAAAGACGTCCACCAAGTCCTTTTAAGACTGGAATTGACATTTTCAATCAGATCACTTATCATCTCCCCTTGATACCATACAACTCCAACAGCTAGTATTTTAAAAGATATGTAAGAGCTCTATATAAGGCTCCTTTTTTTTTATCAGTTGTTGGTCACGTTTGATTTTAATAAAAATGTATTATTCAGTCAACTTGCTTGGAGCAATTAGTCATGTTTCTCATTACAGAATTAATTAAACTCTTATGTGGTTTCCTTGAGTTTGTTCGTCTAAGAGAGTCTTAATATTCTTGAGTGGTTTCCCATGTTAGACTCGTTTTTATAAAATGGTTTACGATCATTTTTCGGTGAGATTTCCGGTAGAGATGTTCATTGGAAATAACCAGATTTTAAGCATGATAAAATCATCGCGGTCAACACTATAACATACTTTAATGAATCTCACATTGGAAGTTTCCAACACTATAAGTGGATGACTGATAAAGCTTCCAAAATTTGACTAAAGGTAAAAATTAGGAAATACCCCATATTGGAAGTTTCGATATAATTAAAATCCTCAAATACATAGAGTGGAGAACTCATAACAAAGCTAAAAACCTAAAGTGTATTAGAGAAAAGAGATATCGGGCCTGATTTTGGTTTTATGCTTTAGGATTTAGCAAATGCAACTTTGTTTTTTTTTTATTAAGAGAGGAGTTTTGTACCAAATTTCATACAAAAGAGACCAAAACTCCTTCCAAGGAGGGTCTGAACCTTAGTTTTTTAAACACTACTTTTTTTGGAAGATAACAACGACCAATAGAACGGCTTACATTTGTTCTTGTTTCCTATTTGGGATAAGAGACACAACAACATAGCAAATAGCAACCAAATGACGACTGAAAAATTCAAAGCCAATATTATTGAAAAGTGGCAATGGATATAGTACTCTAAATCTTTTGCTTTTTATTAGTGATAACGACGAAATAACATTGCAATTTTCTTATAATATTTTGGAATTAATCTGAATTTGAAGAACTCTTATTAAATAGAAAATAGTTAGAGCAAT